CTAGGTCCATCAACTCTCAAACTGCATTTCTGGGTCCATTAAATTTTTTAGTGGTTTACAATAGGTCCAAACCCTTCATTTGGAGATAAAATCCAACGTGGCATGCACAGTAAGCTGACACCATGGCATGAATGTCACGTGAGGCTCACGTGATGGTCGATTGCTGATGTTATTTTTGCCGAAATCCCCCTGTCTTTCTTTCCCTCTCCCACTTCGCAACGTCACCACCATCGCGCAGATCCGCCGCGGGAATCTGAAGTGGGAGAGGGAAAGAAAGGCAGGGGGGTTCGGCAAAAATAACATCAGCAATCGACCATCACGTGAGCCTCACGTGACATTCATGCCATGGTGGCAACTACTGTGCATGCCACGTCGGATTTAATCCCCAGACAAAGGGATTTGAACCTAAAATGTAGTTTGAGAGTTGATGAACCTAGGTGACACATGACCAAAAGTTAATTGAGCTATGATGCATTTTGCTCTTATTAGAACACATTAACGGTCTGTTTGATATGGTTTTGACTCTTACTATAGTGCACAGAAAAGTTAGAACTGGTAAAACCCAACTTAACAATTTCACTAGCTCCTAATTCGTCTTGAGAAGATGATGACCTATTTGTATAGTATAGCTACAGTGCATTTAGGAGGTAGAATCGGAGCTCTATCGAACAAGACCTTAAACACTAGTGCAGACTTAATAACCATTTTATTTATCAAGATTTTTTCACTAACCACTTTTATTGTAATTGCTCTTGGAGTGGCAGAAATGTTAGTGGAGTGGTAGAAGAATTTTATAGAAAGAATTCACATTTTAAAATTGTTTCCACCACACGTATACATCTTGCACCTCCAGTAGCTTCCAACGCACTGCTCCTCCTTTGGATCCATTAGAAAATTTCAACAAACATACTATATGACGTAGATAGAAAAGAAAATTCACAAAGCTAACAGACGAAAACTAAAATGAAAACAATCAAGGCAAAGCGAAGAGAAGACTATAGAGAGAGGAAAAATTAGAGAGGGGTCAGAGGGAGCGGCATCCGCATCCTCCTATATAACGACCACCTCCTCCCCCGCTTCCTCCCACGCCTCCCAACCTCCTCCTCTGCTCCCAAGATCTCCCCCCCACCTCCCCGGTCCGGTCCGGTAGCAGAGAGCGGGGGGCAGAGAGAGATCGAGATCCGGAGGCGCGAGCACCAGCACCACCCACCACCGTCTGCAGCAATGGCGGGCACGGTGACGGTCCCGGGGTCGTCGGTCCCCTCGACGCCGCTGCTCAAGGACGAGCTCGACATCGTGATCCCGACGATCCGCAACCTCGACTTCCTCGAGATGTGGAGGCCCTTCTTCCAGCCCTACCACCTCATCATCGTGCAGGACGGCGACCCCACCAAGACCATCAAGGTGCCCGAGGGCTTCGACTACGAGCTCTACAACCGCAACGACATCAACCGCATCCTCGGGCCCAAGGCCTCCTGCATCTCCTTCAAGGACTCCGCGTGCCGCTGCTTCGGCTACATGGTCTCCAAGAAGAAGTACATCTACACCATCGACGACGACTGTTTCGTAAGCCTCCTTCTTCTCTCTCTCGCGTTTCGTTTCGTTCAATTCCCCGTGGATCCGAACGAAAGGCGGAGTCTTGACGCCGGATCTGGGTCAAATTCGATCGAATTGGACCAGATCCGCCCGGGTCAGATCTGGATCTAGTCGCGCGCGGTCAAACGCGTTGATCCGTAGGAGGTTGCGTGTAGTCTAGCATTACGGATCTCGATCCGGAGCAGCTGGCTGTGCTCAGTAGCTCTAGTGCCGCCGTTCCGACAGGAAACAGGGGATGCTGCCAGCTAGCCATACCTACGCTCGGGGGTTGCTAGATGTTTGCCACCTCGTACTGGTAGTTAGTGCCACCTCCTTTTCATCTTGGCGGGGGTCCTTGTTTATGTGATCCCATCGCGGATCACAAGCTTGGCACATTCAGTTTGTCATTTACTTAATAACCAAAACGTGACAGAATGCTCTAATGTTATTGGATCTGGACTAGATGGTTGCTTCAGATCAGATCCGAGCAGTCACAACTTTTGTAATTCACAGTCTAGTTTAATTTTTACATCCTCCATGTAAGATCCACATCACTACATTCATAATTCTGACAATGGAACTAGCAGCATCATGATCTATAGTAACATTGGAAGTAGTATCCAGCAGTCCAATCAAATTCTGAATTTTGATCGCCTGAGCTAGCAGCACTGTGATCTGTCAGAAACATTAGCAGTAATATCCAGCTATGCGATCGAATTATGAATTTTACCTTATGAATTTTACCATCTGAGCAGGCAGGTGCCACGATCTGAACTAGAGCTACATCATTGCACACCTGCTATTTTATCGCACTAACCAAATATCTTTGCATGTCATTTAGGTTGCCAAGGACCCAACTGGCAAGGATATCAATGCTCTTGAGCAGCACATCAAGAACATCATGAGCCCATCCACCCCGTTCTTCTTCAACACCCTGTACGACCCCTACCGCGAGGGTGCTGACTTTGTGCGTGGATACCCCTTCAGCCTCAGGGAGGGTACCCACACTGCTGTCTCCCACGGCCTGTGGCTGAACATCCCTGACTATGATGCTCCCACACAGCTGGTCAAGCCTAAGGAGAGGAACGAGAGGTATTGCATTTTGTTCTCATTTTTTATCTGACATTCTGGCAACTGTCCTGCTGCATCAAGGGTTGGGTCTAAGTCCCCTTCTTTCAGGTATGTTGATGCTGTCATGACAATCCCCAAGGGAACCTTGTTCCCCATGTGCGGCATGAACCTTTGCTTCGACAGGGATCTCATTGGCCCTGCTATGTACTTTGGTCTCATGGGTGATGGCCAGCCCATTGGTCGCTACGACGACATGTGGGCAGGATGGTGTGTGAAGGTGTGTGGTCTCTCTGTTCTTGCCTCTACAGTTTATTTTGTTCCTAAAAACATAATGTCCATTGGACTGATGATTTTATACAACTGTAAAACGATAACTTTAGGTCATCTGCGACCACTTGAGCCTGGGAGTCAAGACTGGCCTGCCATACATCTGGCACAGCAAGGCTAGCAACCCCTTTGTTAACTTGAGGAAGGAATACAAGGGCATCTTCTGGCAGGAGGACATCATCCCCTTCTTCCAGAACGTGACCATCCCCAAGGATTGCGACACCGTCCAGAAGTGCTACCTCTACCTCTCCGGTGAGGTGAAGGAGAAGCTAGGCAAGATTGACCCCTACTTTGTCAAGCTCGCCGACGCCATGGTCACCTGGATTGAGGCCTGGGATGAGCTGAACCCGGCTACCCCCGCCGCCGAGAATGGCAAGGCCAAGTAGATGGAGTCCCTGGGGTGCCTTCACTGCCCACTGAAGTGAAAAGAAAGTATGATTGGGTCCTGCCTAGGCCCCATAGATATAGCTCTTTTTGAGGGAAGAGGTTAATTCAGCAGCAGCTTTTATAAATTCTTTGTTGTTATGAAGCAGGTGGTTCTTTTGTAGTTGATGAAAGGGATTTGTCGTCACTATCATTTACATAATTCAGGCAATAATTTATATTGTGTAATTTTGAGAATCAAAGCACTGTTTGTGTTATAGCATGTCTATGAATGTGCATTGCTGCCTTTTTTTTCTTGTGTAACCAAGGCGATAGTTAAGATTTCAGATTGTCAGCCTGAATGCCCATTGATCTGCTCTTGTCCATGCTTACAAAATCAGTTGCTCTGAACTTTGACCTGTGGAAGCTCTGGACCTCTGGTTGGTAGTCTTGTCTTACCCAGGCTGGAATGCCCATCGATCTGCTCTTGTCCATGCTTTACAAAATCAGTTGCTCTGGAGTCCGAACTGTGACCTGTGGAAGCTCTGGACCTCTGGTAGTCTTGTCTTACCCAGGCTTTAGGAGTTACAACACCAGTAGCTCTGAACTGAGCTGTGGAAGCTCTGGTAGTATTATGATGGGAGTATGGTCTTGCACAACATCAGTACTAGCTCTGAGCGAACTCTGAAGTCTGAGCTACGGCAAAATTTGCATGAAGAAATACGGTAGGTAAAGCATGTGCCACGGACAAGAATCTGCCACCGACATAATAAAGAATGAAAATCGAATGCTTGAGCTCCGTGAGTGATTGAATCCGCCAGAGTTGGTAAAATGAATTGGACAAGACACAAGAGTTTCTTTAGCATCTTCTTTTGTGAGAGAATATCAGCTTCATTGACTTTCTGAGTAGATAAAAACAAAAAGAAAAGAAAATAAGAGACTAACAAAAAAAGTAACCAATCCGCCGTTGCCGGGGATCGAACCCGGGTCGCCCGCGTGACAGGCGGGAATACTCACCACTATACTACAACGACTTGGTTGTTTATTATTGGCACTAAACTGAATAACTCCTCGAACAGCTTACCACATGACAAGAACAAAAAGACAATGAAGCTTCGTCTCTCCATTCTTACAGAGTAACAATATCAGCCAATCCTGACCGACAACAAGCGGAAGCATTAGCATCGGATTCAGGCCCCATTCGGCTTACCTCGTAATCCGTCTTATTTGGCTTCTTTTTTTTAGCCGAAGTAATGTTTTCCTCTCACAACCATTCAGCCAGAACAGTGTTTTTTCAGCCAATTTCAGCCGAGCGAAGGAGGCCACATGTTTTTCAAATTTATTAGTTGCAGATACTAGGAAAATGTCTTTCAAGTTCCAGGAATACAAAGGTTTCTATAGCAACCTGACACTCCGGAACAAGTTCATGACACATACAGACCCTCCGCTCTTTCGATACAATTGAGAAGCACGCTACCAGATACCAATGGAGGTTTACAGATCAATCAGAATCAATTGAGGAGTCACACATATTTTCCATGACCACAACAATTAATGCCTGAATCAATAACTTTAATGGGAGGTCAAGCTTTTAATTCAGATGAATCCCTGTTTAGCCTTGACTGGCTTCAGCCTCAGACCGCTTCAACTATCTTGCTAGTGGCCTAACTTGCTGTAGTCTTGACCTCTTCAGCCACTTGCTTTTCCAGGAATTCACATTCTCCTTCCTTATCCAAATGTTCCCTGCGGTAATGCCAGAATGAACCACTAAGATTAGTAAAACAAAATGAATGAAAAAACCAAAAAAGTCAAACTAATATTGGTACTGCAAATCGTGTCCTATTGGAGTAACTGATCACGGACAAGCAATTTTCACCATAGCTGATACATCGTTTTGGAAAGCTCCCAAAGACTGAATTTGAGCTTACACTCTATGGACTGCATAAACCATTTCTACATGCCTTCAAATTTTTGTGTGCATACCTTACTTTCCCACACAAGCGTGCCAAGGCATCAGCACCAGTCCGTGATGCAACGTCTTCTATCAGTTCAGCATTTGAAAGGTTCACAGTCTCTGCAAGCTTGAACTCACACAGATCTTTTAATGAACATGCATCAGTCAGAACAGCAGAATGGCCACCTCCAGTGTCATGTGGGGACGCTCCTATACTCGACGTAGGAGGGCCCGCGACATCCGTCGCGCAGCAGAACGCGCTGGGCGCGCGGCAGGAGCGGCCAGGGAGGCGTCAACCATCAGTGGCTAGGAAGGAAAGATAGGATAGTTTCCCTCTTTTCAGTTCCACAATTTTAGGAATAATTAGCTCTAGTTGGTTTGGGCCTTAGGCCATATATATATATCTTGTAATCAGGACTAAGAAGGATAAGAAGTTATTTCCTAAATCCTCTCTCTTCTACAACCAACTAAGCCGACGGCTGAGGGGTAAAACCTCGCCGGCGACGACGGAACGAGGCTACGAACTCCGTAGCCGCGGTCCAGCTACCTTGGGCGCTAACGCCCTTGACAACCTGGTATCACGGTCACGTCGATCTTCTTCGCCGACAGCCGCCGCGCCATCAGCCTCACCTCCAGCAGCCGCAAACCCTAACCCACCACCAGCCGCCGCTGCCATCACCCCACCTTCACCCACGTCGTCAGTTGCATCTTGCGCCGGCACCATGGGGGATGATCTCAAGGCCTCACTTGAGGCGCTCGCCACGTCAGTCGCCCTGATGCAGAAGTCGATCGAGGCTAACGCTAAGGCGATCGCCGACCTCTCCATCGCTGGCTCGTCCATGTCTGGTGCACGTCCAGGGTTCGGGGGCGAACACCATCAAGATCGGCCGCCCAAGCACTGGCGTCCCGAGTTTCCGCACTACGACGGCAAGAGCGACCCATTGATCTTCCTCAACCGGTGCGAGTCGTTCTTCCTGCAGCAGCGGATCATACCAGAAGAACGGGTCTGGATGGCGTCTTACAACCTTCAAGACGGAGCGCAGCTCTGGTACATGCAGCTCCAAACTGACGAGGGCACCCCATCGTGGCCGCGTTTCAAGGAGCTCCTGAATCTGCGTTTCGGGCCCCCCCTCCGATCGGCTCCTTTGTTCGAGCTGGCGTCTTGCCGCCGGACAACGACGGTGGAAGATTATCAAGACCGCTTCCAGGCTCTCCTCCCACGCGCGGGTCACCTCGACGAAAACCAGCGCGTCCAGTTGTTCACGGGCGGCCTCCTTCCGCCGCTCAGTCTGGCCGTGCAAGTGCAGAACCCTCAATCCTTGGTGGCCGCCATGAGCCTTGCACGGCAGATGGAGTTGATGGATCAATACACTGCCGCGCCGCCGAAGGCCACACCTCGGGGGATCTTGCCTGGGCCACAACCCCGCGCGCCCCAAGCGTATGGCCCCGCCGCAAAGGCTGCCGCTCCGACGGTCATTTGTGGAGGGCGTTCGTCCGTCGCTGAACCAAAGCCGAGATGGAGGAGCGCCGCCGTCTTGGGCTATGCTACAATTGTGACGAGAAGTACGGCCGCGGGCACAACAAAGTCTGCAAGCGCCTATTTCTCCTGGACAGCAAATTGGAGGACGAGGACGACGACACCGTAGCCGGGGACGACGACGTGCCTGAGACCGAGTCTCCGGTCTTCTCGCTGCATGCGGTCGCGGGGGTGGCTCGGGGCAACACCATGCAAGTCCAGGTCACTCTGGGCAGGATCACCCTCGTCGCCCTGTTGGACACGGGGTCCACGCACAGCTTCATCGCCGAGGCCGCTGCGGAGCGCAGCGGCCTTCCCATCCAGCCACGTCCGCGACTCACGGCCACTGTGGCGAATGGCGAGAAGGTTCCATGCCCTGGCGTCATCCGCCACGCCCCGCTCGTCGTCGACAACATTGCTTTCTGCGTCGATCTTTTTGTCATGCCTCTTGCGAGGATATGATGTGGTCTTTGAGCACTCGATTGGATGGCCACGCTTCGGTCGCTGATGCGGGACTTCGCGGCCGCACGACGGTCTCGTTCAACACCATGACCGCGCGGTTCTGCTTTGGTCGGTGTGCCCTCATTGGCGCCACGAGGCTTCTTGGCGGCGACGTCCGGTAGCGCCGCTCCTCGACGAATTTCTTGGCGGGTTCGAGGACGTTTTATTTGAACCACAGTGCGCGCCTCCCAAAGCTTTCGCGATCACACCATCGTCCTCAAGCAGGAGCGCAACCGGTCGCGTGACCACGACCATCGGTACCGGTGCGGCCCCAAAGGCGAATTTGGGAACGCCGATCTTTCGCCATGATCGAGCAGGCATTGTCCGCTGCGGCGATTCGGCTTTCTCTCGCCGGTCATCCTCGTCAAGAAGGCGGGACGGGACTGGCGCTTTTGCGTCGACTACCGGGGCGCTTAAACGCGCTCACCGTCAAGGATGCGTTTCCGATCCCCGTCGTCGACAATTGCTCGACGAGCTCCACGGCGCCCGCTTCTTCACTAAGCTCGACTTGCGGTCGAGGTACCACCGAGTTCGCATGCGGCCCTCCGACATCCACAAGGCGGCATTCCGCGACTCACGACGGCCTCTACGAAGTTCTGGTGATGCCGTTCGGCTGTGCAATGCCCCCGGCAACCTTCCGAGCACTCATGAGCGGCGTCCTCCGGCAGCTTTCTGCGTCGCTTCGTCTGGTATTTTTGATGACATTCTTATCTACAAACCGACGTGGGCGGATCATCTCGACACCTCCGCGCCGTGATCTCCGAAAGCTTCGTCGCCACCACTATTCCTCAAGCTTGAGTAAGTGTGCCTTTGGCGAGGGCTTTGTCTCCTACCTCGGACACATCATCTCCGAGACCGGTCGCCATGGATCCAGCCAAAGTGCGAGCCATCCTTGATGCGGTCTTGCGCCTTCGGCTTTCAAGCGAGACGATGGCTTCCTCGGCTTGGCGGGTACTACCATAAATTCGTCCACAACACGGCATGCCGCCGCCCAGTGACAAACCCTCCTCAAGAAAGAAGGGTTCTCTGGGAACGACGCCCTTGGCATGGCTGCGTTTCACCGCGACTCAAGGCGCGGTCACCTCGGCGCCCATCCTCTCAATGCCGGACTTCACCAAACCGTTCACCGTCGAGTGTGATGCTTCCTCCCACGGGTTGGCGCGGTCCTCATCCGGGAGGGCATCCGATTGCCTTCTTCAAAGAGTTTGCGGTCGCTACACGCCATCGCGCCCTCGCCGCTTACGAAGCGGGAGCTCATTGGCCTAGTCCACGCCCGTGCGATAATTTGGAGGCCGTACCTGCTGGGGCGCCGCTTTCTCGTGAAGACGGATCATTATAGCCTCAAATATCTCGTTGGATCGGGCCTTGCGGCGATTCCCCAACACCATTGGGTGGGGAAACTACCGGCTTCGACTTCTCGGTGGAGTATAAACCGGGTGCGGCCAATGCTGCGTGGCGGGCGCCTTGTCCGCCCCGCGACACGGAGGACCGAGCCATCTCTCGCCCTATCGGCCCCTCGGTTCGACTTCGCCACGCGCGCCCGTCAAGCCGGACGCCGACTCAAGCCTCGTCAGCGCTCGCGCGAGAGATCACCGGGGCACCAGGTAGCGCGCCGTGGTCATGGCGAGATGGCATGGTGAGTTCAACGGCCGGCTCTACATTCCGTTGGCGTCGCCTCTCATCCGGAAATCATCTTTGGCGTGCACGAGGGAGGGCATGAGGCGTCCAACAAGACGATGCATCGGATTGCGTCGCGATTTCCATTTTCCTAACATGAAGCGGTTGGTGCAGAACCGGTTCGTGGTTCCGCCTCGTGTGCCAAAGGTACAAGTCCGAGCACCGCATCTCGCCGCTGCTCTTGCTCCCTCTACTGTCTGCAGGGGTTTGGACCGACATTTTATTTGGATTTCGTCGAAGCGCCGCCCGGTCCGTGGGTAAGTCGGATCATCCTCACGGTGGTGGACCGGTTCAAAGCAATCATCGCCACTTTATCCGTTGCACACCCATACTCCCGAGTCCGTCGCCCGAGCTTTCTTCACCGACATCGTCCGGCTCCACGGATACCACGATCGATGGGTGTCGGACCGCGACCCCGTCTTCACTTCGACGTTACGGCGCGCGAGCTCATGCGCTGTTGGGCACCAAGCTTCACATGACCACGGCTTTCCATCCACGATCGGACGGCCCGATCCGGAAGCGGCTAACCGGGTCATCATTATGTACTTGAGGTGTCTTCGGTGTGACCGCCGCGTCGTTGGTTGCGCCGCTCCCATGGCGGAATTCATCTTCAACACCGCCTACCGATCGTCTCTGCGCGACACGCCGTTCGCGTCGTCTATGGCGGGACCGCCGTCCATTCGATCGTAAGAGCGAGCCAAAGCGAAGTCGTCGCGGTGTCACTGTCTTGTCGCGCGCAGCATGGAGGAACGCGCGCGGAATTTCTTGGCGACATCAAGTGCCTTGGAGAACGAGCACGAGCTCTTGAACGCGCACTACGACGGCGGGCCATCGGCCGATCACGTACCGGTGGGCGATTGGGCCTTCTCCGGCTTAGGCATCGCGCGCGGCGTCTCTTCCACAGACTCGACGGGCAAGCTCGGCCCGCTACTACACGGCCCCTACCGGCGTCATCGAGTTGATCAACGAGGTCGCGGTTCGCCTCGCTTCTTCCTCCCGGCGCCCGTATTCACGGCGTGTTCCATGTGGGCGTCCTCAAGAAGTTCGAAGGGCCTCGCCGGACGCTCCACCACCATCGCCGGCCGTGCACCATGGCGCGGTGGTTCCTAAACCGACCGGCGGTGCGCTATCGGCTCGCCCGTGGCGTCCGGCAGTGTTGATCCTTTGGAAAGGGAGTCGGCGGCATCCTCCACTTGGGAAGACGCCGAGGCGTTCGCGCCAAGCATCACGTTTATTTCGAGGACGGTGAGTCTCGACGGGAGGAGATGTCATGGGGCGCTCCTATACTCGGACGTGGGGGCCCGCGACATCCGTCGCCTTGAGAAGCAGAATGCTTTGGTAGCCTTGGCAGAGCGAGCCAGGAGGCGTCCAACCATCGGTGGCTAGGAAGGAAAGATAGGATAGTTTCCCTCTTTTCGGTTCCACAATTTTAGGAATAATTAGCTCTAGTTGGTTTGGGCCTTAGGCCATATATATATATCTTGTAATCGGGACTAAGAAGGATAAGAAGTTATTTCCTAAATCCTCTCTCTTCTACAACCAACTAAGCCGACGGCTGAGGGGTAAAACCTCGCCGGCGACGACGGAACGAGGCTACGAACTCCGTAGCCGCGGTCCAGCTACCTTGGGCGCTAACGCCCTTGACATCCAGCAGCTAGTCTTCTCACTTCACCAACACACCTACATCACACAAATGATAATCAAGGACCTAGAGCTGCAAATAAACTTCACATTGTAGCAAGAGCAGCATCCGCAGAGTCCTATATTTAACCCAGAAAAGACAACAAGATTGTATTACTACCAAACCTACCAATCAACTGGAGAGGGGAACCAAGCATAAGTAGATTTCTCATTTGCCGCCTGACCATAACTATTGTAGCCCCACCCATATATGCGGCCATCTTTCATAGATACAAGTGTGTGAGAGTGCCCACAGGTAGCAAGACGAACACCTGAGGGTATCACCATGACTGGGACGTTTCGAAGCAGCATGTCAGATCCATTAAGGGAGCAAGAAAAGAAGCCACCCTGAGGCCCAACTCCCAGCTGACCCACATGTCCTCCACCCCAAGCATATAGAGCTCCACCTTCAGTTACAGCACAAGAGTGGACCCCTCCACAAGACACATCTC